TCTGTTAGATGAAACAGCCATCAAATTGCATATCTTGGTAACTTTAATAATTTTTGTGTAGTTTCTCATTACTTGCATAGAAATTTTAGTAGACCATAGCATGGGTAATAGTGAAGTTATGACTTTTCATTAAGATAACTCCTCTTAAAGAAGTTTGGGCAGTGTTGACATAAAGTTACAACTACAACAGCATGCAGACTAGACTAAGTAGTTTGATGTAAAGAGGGTGATTTATTGCAGAAAGAAAGTCAAAGAAGTTATACCAGGCTTCAGGTCACGGTGAATGATCCCATGAGAATGCAGGCACTCCATAGCACGAGCAATATCAAGGGCAAAACCAATAGCAACATGTATGTCCAAGCAATTTGGCCGCATGTTAAGCAAATACTTGCGCAATGTTCCTCCCAGTAAGAGTTCAGTGACTATCACCATTACAGGCTCTTTGCAGGTACCAATAAACTGTTAATACACATGGTGACAACTTTTACTGTAAGGTGTTGACTTAAAAGTAGTTTTTGTTAGATCATAATATATCTATTGTTGCTTCATTGACGAGTTATAGGCACAAAGGACAAGAATCAGGGAGAGCCTAGACCTAAGTCCAACCTTCACCAAGTTCTTATGTTGAACTCTAGACAACATCGCAACCTCCCTAGCATATCGGGCTTCTCTCTTGGCAATTTCTTCTGCAGTTTCCCCTTTATGCAAAATTTTAATTGCAACCGTCTGGTTTTTGTATCTGAAACGAAACCAATAAAAGAATTATGTAGATTGTAGGGTAGAATATCTGCAACTTAAACTCATTATAAAAGCAATTAAAGAAAACCCAAATCTTAGAGAAGCCTAACTCAAGATCATTAGTGATGGCTGTTGCCATCACTTTTATCAAGAAAAGAATCTTATACTTATGCTTCAAAATCACTATTTCATTTGAAGCCTGAGCAATGAAATGCATTGCATGGAATGAAGGCGTAAGTAATCAAACAGTGGACAATAATTGATTTGCTGGCACCCAACAAGCAAGTACCATTGCTCATCAAGATGGAATATGCAAACTCTGCAGAAAAAATGAGACGCTGAATTTCGAAAAAGCAAACTTACTTGCCCTCATAGACTTTGCCATGAGCTCCCTCTCCAATTCTGGGCCCTACATATAGAAGCTTAGGATCAATTAGCCACTTTGGGTCCAATCTGAGCTCATCGACAGAATAGAACCCTCCTCCAGATTCCATTTTTGATATACTGGAGAAGAAATATTCAAGACATGCATCAACCAGTAAAATCCAGCAGCCACCGTCACACGAGAACCCTAAAGAGACACCATTTGAGGTCTGATTCGCATGGCAAATAGAATTGCTGACATGAAGCAGAGAACTGTACAAAACATGCTCTGGAGCGTCTCGTTCTGCAACTGAGAATCAGAACCACATCTCGAAAAGTGAGGCCTCTAAATCAATACTCATTGATGATTTGCATTTCCTTGGGGAGGCAAAAGCATGGAACCCACATGCTTGAAAGAGAAAGGGAGAGAGAAGAAAGAAGGGTGACAATAAACGCAAGCAAAGCCCAAAGCCCAAAATGATTTCTTGAAAGTTCGTGGGGGCAAAGAGAAGAATCCCCGGAAAATAGAAGATGAGCAGGAATCTACCACTAATTGCTCAAGTAAAAACGAAGTCTTTTTAAGCTATGGAATGTCAACACTCACCCCCAGAGAGCTTCAGTTCAATGCTCCAATATTTATTTTTAATGTTCTAATATTGTAATCATGGGTCTTTGCTTCACCACGAATGCTTGATCTGCAGACAGAATCATAAATAGGAGAATTAATAAAGAATTTAATAAAGGAAGGCAAAAGAAGCTCTTTTGGGACAGAAGATAGGCACTTGGGAGGGAAGAGTGGTTTCTGAAGACTGTATGAGCCATAAAATAATCAAGGGCACGTGGAGACTGATCTTGGCAGCATGTGACGACCCGATTCATGAGCAACATCTTGAGAAATAAATAATATATATTACATATCTTCCACATATCTTTTGCTCATCTTTAATCGGAAGCGTAACGTTATTGTTAAAGTAACCATTTTTATGTTCTACATGTAGACAGTGGACACACAGATATGGGGTTTAAAGGCATTTTCGTTCTGAACTATTTCAAGATATATATGGGATATCCTAAATTATTGATTAAATCAATATCATTTTTAAAATGTCGAAATCATTGCAACGTTGTTCAATGACTAACCGATATTAACCTTTACTACTCCTCCGGTCCTTAATATAAAACTCAATTCTTGAGTTGGTTTTGGTTCTAAATATAAGATCTATTTCTTGTATTTATCATTTTTCTCTAAATTACCCCTATGGATACTCCCTCAACCATAATCAAGTAAAAGAGGGAGAGAGGGTATTAAGAAAGATGATTATGGTATTTTAGGAAAAATGTGTCACTTTTCTTATAATTAATTAACTTACCTAACTTCCTTAATCTAATCAAACTAGTTAAATGGGTCTTATATTAAGAAGCGGATGAGTATTAACTTTGCATTAATTTTGGGTTAAAGAATATTGGAGTAATTAATAACTTTTTTTAATTGAAACATGTGGCGTCATGTTAAGTTGTCACATGTTTTGTTATTTGGGTTGCCAACTAAAGATTCATTAATTTAAAAAGAACACTGTTTGTCAACCCTCCACTAACAGTCAATTGATGATGTGGTAAAAAATTATATGCCTATTTTACTTGGCTACAAGGTTGACTGATAAATACTTATGTAATCTATGGTGTTATACACAGATATAACGTGTAACGGTATCTAGTTGGCAAGGTATGTCACACTCTAAACATATAATGTAACACGCCTCCTTGGGGGGGGGACAAAAGAGGATGCCAATTTTTCATGTTATTAATTGTAGAATGCGGTGTGGAAAAAAAAAAGTAGAATGCCAATCACTCCATAAATACTTTGTGGCCAAAAATGGTTTTTAAGCCAAAGTCAATTTGAAACTAAATGTCAACATCAATATTCATAAGTCAAAGGATAATATTGTCACAACGTTAATATTTTAAAAAAATGACTTGCTTCTTAGGATATCCAATATTTCTTGCAAAATGGTTCATGATGAAAGTGTGCTGTGACTATCCTTTTCTTCTTTTGGCCTTTTATGCAAGCGTGAGCACACCGGCAGGTCTCGCCGTTGACGCTACTCACATCTAACTGAAGTTGCTTCTGTACAGAGTCATAGTTAATGGATGAATGTTGAAAAATCTGTTAATCTTTGATCTAAAGTTTATCGCTTTTTTTAATCATCATTGATATTACTGTGGATTTCAGCTTTTCTGACAATACTTTGCTCTTTTAAAACTCATTTTTCTCATCATTATGAGTTCAAAAGCAAGCACAACATGCGCTTCCTATGACTTCCGCTGATGTCAGGGGAGTCCAAATTTGCATCTGCCAGTGCCATCCACTTGATTGTAAAAACTGTGTTAGTGGATAATGGGTACTCTTATTATCTCTGGATTTGCTCAGTCTTATTACTTCCACTTGAGCACAACACTGTTGATGGTTGAATCGTTAGGCTGAACCAAATATGCCTTCATCTATTCCTCACTATTCTGTTTGCTTTACATTACGACCAATCCACACCTTCAAGGATAATTAATTTGTGCAAGCTTATTCACCACTGCAGCAGCCTGGGCCCTTTCACATACATCCATGGCATGATCAATCCATTTCTTGAACTGTGTTATTCACTTCTTACGTTTCTGGATTTTAGTTTTTATGAATCATCCCTTTCTCTGTTCGGTTTAATGTAAAAGCAGGCAACTTTTTCATTCCCAAAACCACTTAAGATTGCAACACAAACGCAATACACTAAACAAAAACAACTGATGTTACTACTTGAATTCGTTTCGAGGGAGTTCCATCTCCTTAATAATTACAAATAAAAACATATTCTTCATACATATGAATGTATGTATAAACAATACATGTACAGGTAAAAAAATAATAACAATAACAATAATGATAATCTCGTACAAATGTTGATTCTTTTACCTCGACAAGGTCACCGGAGGGCAGCAAACAAGCTCAGCAGAGCGGCGCACGCCACAGCGAAGAAGCGCTTCCGCTTGAATATGGCAGGGACGAAGTAGGTGGTGACTTCACCGGTGATGAGGCTGCCTCGTCGAACCAAAACCCGGCGGCGATTGCCGGCGAAGGCGAGCAGCACCAATACGGTGATCCATGCGATCATGGTGGCTCGGAAAGCCATGAGCAGCCACGCCAGTCCCAGGATCAGGGGCAGCACCAACCATCGGAATTCAGATCTCGGAGAAGCGACAAGGCAGAACAGAGTCAAGGAAAGGAACAAGGTACATGTAATGATGGTGGTCTTGGACGACATAGGGGCGGTTTGGAGAAGAGAAGATGCAGTGTTGGAGGGAGAAAGAAACCTAACGCAACAGAAAGTTGGGTGGCAGGAGCTAGGAAGCCAATGATGAAGGAATTTGAGAGCATGTGGAGCACATGGAGAGCCTGGTAAGGGGTGGCTATTCTAATGCCTACTCGCACAAAAGTCAGATTATATTATTGCATCCGAAAAAGGCAATCACACCTAAAACTGGCCTTCATAGCCCCTTCGTGTGTGCTTTCTTTAAAACAAGAGCACCCAGGTGGTGTTGTCAAATCTCACTGCTTCGCCTGAGTAGAAACTGGGCATTGCCAACTCAAGAAACAAACACTGATTCTAGTTTAATAAAACAGTGTCTTGAATCGGAGAAGAAAATGGTCGGAATTCCATTCCAGCTAACCGCGGCTGATTGTTCAACTTGATCAAATGTCGCATTTTTACATTATAATTCGGCCAATTTTCGTTGAATTTTAACCGCTCACATAACATGAATCTATTTGGCGAATTGGTTTTCTCCGCTGCCCCGTTGCGAGGTTTTCAGTCCCTCTTTGGGCAGAAAAACAAAGAGAGAGAGAGAGAGAGAGGCTCTTGCACAATCGACTCGACCCCATCTTAGGAGGAAATTATTAGTTGGAGTCCCCAAATGAAGTTGACATCAGTGAAAATGCAGCAAGGATAAATGTAAATAACATTGCGAAAATACCATGATTACTCTGGCACTGTCACCTTGAAAAATACACCTAAATTAGAGCATCCAAAAATATAATTTAAGACCGAAAAGATTATCTGTCGTCAGGCAGACAGGAATCGGAAGCAAGGGTCATGAGACCAACTTATAGGACCTTCGCTTTATAGCTGCTCGTTAAGATAAGCCTGTTTGGGAGTCTTAGGCGACGTGACATACTCTGCAACGTTCTCGGAGACGCTCTTCAACCAGGAGGTGCTTCGCGTTAACCACCCCATCTGGGCCTGTTCTTGCATCGCCACCCTGTTTCTTTCTTCCTCGTTTAGTATGTTCACCAACCTCGTTGTCATGTAATTCCTCACGGCTTGAGCTCCTAGCCTCACAACCTCTTTTGGTGGCACTTCCACAGGGTTCTGCTCCAAGTTGAGTTTCCTCAGATTTTCCAGGCGACCAAATGTATCTGGAAGCGCGCTGATCTGATTGTTGCTGAGGTCCAACTCCATGAGATTAATCAGATCACAAAATGTCGCAGGAAGTTCTTGAAGGTCCGCGAAATTACTGCTCAGGTCCAGCACCTCAAGGTTAGTCAATCTTCCGAATGCGCTTGGAAGTCCATTCAGCTCATTGAAATGGGCATCTAGATAGCGCAACGATCTCATCTCACAAACAGATGAGGGAAGCGACCGAAGCTTGTTCAGATTAATCAACAGCTTCTTTAAGTTCTGTAATTCATACCCAATATTTGTAGGCAAATACCTCAGACTGTTGAAGCTAGCATCCAACTCCACTAATGACCTAATCATTGATCATACAGACTTAAAATTTCCGGACGAAAGAATTCTTCTGATCAGAGCAGAAGAATTTGTTGCATGTTACATGAAAGTAAGACATCTGTAGATTTTTCTGTCATCACCACCGTTTTAAAACCCCGGGATGCATAAATGGAAATGGACCAGGGTTTCATACAATTTGTAAGATAATTTTAAAAGAGACACAAGTGGAAAAACAACAAAATTCAATTTTCAGAAGCCATAATCCCTGAAAATACCATGCTTTTACCACAGGGATGTTATGTTAACAGTCCAGATAAATATTACTAGGATCCCCAATCACTAGTCCGTACGTACCTTATCAAGTTAACAACTTAACAAAGACGCAAAATACGCTGCTCTTGTAAATTTCTATGTAGTATCTGTTTTTGTCACATACATACCTGCAATGGGAGATGGAGTCAGGAAGGGCGGTCAGTTTGTTTCCGGAGACATTTAGGATTTTCAGCTTCTGTAGCAAGCCAATTGAATCCGGAAGTGACTCCAAATGATTTGCAGATAAGTTAAGCTCCTCAAGATTTTGCAATCCGGCTACCGCGTCAGGAATCGACTGTTATGTTACACAAAATGCTCGTACATACGTAAAATCATAAGAGAAGAAATAAGACTCGTAAAAACGTACTCGCACTATGCCTTTAAACATATCAAGAAGCCATTGCTTTCATATGCATGAAAAAAATAATTAATGTTATCGCACAATTCGTGCTGATTCTCCTGATGATTTTATCGGTTTCCTTTTGCTGTCTTTTGTTCGTTTAGACTCACAGGGACAAATGAATCAGAATATGCTATAAAGATATGAGATATCTACAATGAACTTTGATGGATGCGAAAATCAGTATCAGCATCAGAATGTGATTCTGTTAATTAAGAATCTTAATTAATAGGGCTTAAGCGAAATCTAAATACGCCTACCGTCAGCTGGTTGGTGGAAACATCAAGCGCCACCAACCCCGAAATCCGCCAAAAGGCCTCGGGAAGCAACCTCAGGCCGCGATTCGAAAGATCAATTCGCTCTATCCCCTGTCCATAGGCCTTCTGCAGAATCCCAACCACCTCTTCGTTGACCTCCTCTGTCTCCGTCTTGTCTTCCTCGGGATCTGGTATTCCGTCGGCGGAATTGTAAATCGCTTCCAATCTTTTCTCCGCGTCCTTGAGCAACTTCTCATACGCATCGTGCATCTCATCCAATTGTATCACTGCTTTATACACTCGCTTCTCATCCTCTGCTAATTTCCTGCACTCCTTCTCTTTCTCGGCCTGCTGACTCCGCCATTGATTGGTGTCGAGGTGAGGAGGCCTAGGCGAGAGCACGATCTCCTCGAGCTGTCTGGACAAATGAGCGTCCAAATCAGCGAGCTTGGCCTTGGCATTGTCGACGGTTTCATGGTCCGGTCGGTCGCCGAGGACCTTGAGCATGGATCGGGTCTGAGCGACGTCGTAGATGGTACGGGTAATGGAAGCCAACAGTTTTGGGTCAGTGATGCGGGGCATCTGGGCAACAAGTTCAGGATTTTTTATACCAGAAGAGGACGAGGAAGAGGGATCGGAGGGTGAAGGGAGGCGGGGCTGTTCGATATCGTAGGGCTCAGGATTGGAAGAGGCAGTGGGAGCGAGAGGAGGGAGACGGGATATGAAGGAGGAGAGAAGAGGGAAGCTTCCAGGGTTGGGATCCATGGCTGGTGGTGGTGGTGGTGACGAGTAGCTCTGTGACTGTGACGAAGGAGTGTGAGCGATGAAGGATGATGGCTGTGAAGTATGGCCTTTAGGGTGTGCTTTGAGAATATCGGTCTCCTTCGTATGTTACGATAAGGCGGGCATAGCTTTGCTCCTAAGCTGTGAACAACTCGCGCGGGGATTTTTCTAACTGATAACCGAATTTCATGCAACTAACTTCCCACGTGTCACTTCTACACCTTCTCTTGTTACAGTTACAACTGTCATAACTGTCATCCGTTCTATGTTTTCAAATACTTCTCAGAGTAAAACTTTCTCGTTATTAGAGGAAGGAAAAAAAACAAGATCAGCAATCATATAAGTTGTAATTTTTTTGTAGAGTAAAATAGATTTCCATTAATAATAATAATAATAATAATAATAATAATAATAATAATGATCATAATGATAATAATCAATTTCTAGAAAGATTTTCATTCCCTAATTGAGTTATTACATCAATTCCACCGACTTTAAAACAAGTTGAATCATTACTACTAAATGCTTGTCAACAAGATAAATCATTATTTAAAAAAAAAGAGATGAAAATATTTTACTACTAGTAATATATAAGCTGAATTTTCTTGCTTTTACAAAGAAAAAAACCGACAAGAAAGTCTCGGTGAATTCATTGATTCCCATTCTTCTTTGATGGGGTTCCGATGACATGAACATTGATAATTGGATTCTGCCCCTGTTTCATCCCTTTGTTTTTCAGTGGGTTAAAATACTCCAAAACTCCTTATCGGGGAAAAAAAAACAGAAAAAAAAAAACACTCCAAAACTATCAAGAAAGTCAGTGTAACTGGCATTAAACAAAACAACAACATCACGCTGCCATAACTGAACAGATATGCCAGAAATGAGGATACATTTGTACTGAATGCTAGGTTAAAGCTTCAATGGAGCTATCCTTCTGAGACATGAACAAAACCTCTTTTTGAAGCATTTCAAATATTTCCTTCAATCGATTTGTAAACTTAGCCGTTATGTTTTGATTGATCCTTTGCTGAAACTTGGAGCTTTTAAACCATATTATCTTAATGTAAGCTTCACACTTGCAAGCGCAGTCATCCGCCGGAGATTTCTGAATCTGGTGTCTAAAATGGATCTGCAGGCAGGGATTTTAAAAAACAAATCAGGAAGTGAAACCCCAATTTTGGAACAAAATGAGCTAAATATTTGGAGACCAAACCAATCATGACGAGACACGTACGCAGAACAAAGCTGTGTCTCGCTGAAAAATGTTTATGAAATGCTTCCATATATATCTAGTCTAGATAGGTTCAGTCTACCAAAGAATTTTCTGCGAGATATGAAAAATGAGTTTTCAGGGTCACATACACGAAAGTGATCAGCAAACGGAACACCGTGAAGGGCCATGACCTCGTTCACAATCCAACCTTCAGTGTTTTCAATGGGGACTTTTTGTTGTGTGCATGTGACTTCACCACCAAAAACTGATACCTGGCGACTGAATTTGTAAGATACTCTCCTTTCAAAGACATCGGGTTTTACAGATTCCCAGGAGGTTGTTCCATAATTAATACATCCAGTTCGCTGCATAATCTTATGTTCCAAGTTTCCTCCATCAAACAGTTCCAGCACCGTTCTCATCTACGAGAGTGATACGCACAATAATGCCACCGAAACTTTGTAAATACAAAGGGAATAACTACACACTCATCTAGTGGGAAGAAATATGGCAGTTTTCAGGGGCAAAGAGCAAGACAACATCCTAAGGTAGTCAGGTGTACAAAAGATAGGTAGACCCAAAAAATTATAAAAGATGCGTAAGCAAATAAAAAAAAATGGTCTATCTATAAAAGTTGAGGCCAACATAGTTACATGTTTATTCATGATTTTCTTGATCTGATCAGCCTAAGGATTTTGTAAGCAAAGAACCAAAGATACATGACAGCCTACTCCAGGCCAAATTCAGTGGCTTAAATCAAGAGGAATCAGTTAATTTTTCAGATAGCAATAGAAACTTTCAATGCTGATTCAAAAGGCCAGGAAGCTTCCAAGCGCATCGATGCTTAAGTTCAACCATTAGAAATAAGGTGAACAAAAGTATTATTTCTGGTCTCTAACCAACTTGTCTTTTGTTCGATCCATGAAATAACATGAAAAAACTTAGTCTTGTCCGTGAGACTAGCAACCACCAACTTACCTTGACTGGAAATTCTGCTGAGTAAATCTTGGACATTTTTGCTTCCTCATCCAGCATAGACCCAAAGTCACCAGGAACCACAGAGCCCTCCTCTTGATCCCCCTGCTCTTCTGCAAGACGTGCTTTCAGATCAGGGTCCAATGTTCTTGTCCTCCACAAGGCCTTTATTGTCCTGCTTTAAAACAAGGATTTCTTCTTGCAGGTAAAAGGAGAAAAATTCGTCGATTCTGCAGATCATAATGTGAACCTAAACATGAAGAATCACAATACCTGGAGGCTGTACCGAATGACACAAATGATTGAAAATGGAACCTAAGCCTGCCTTCCTCATCTTGACTCTTTGCGGCGTGCCTAGCATCAAGACCTCGATCCTTTCGCAGAATTATGACTAGTGTAGGGCTGCCTATTGACACCAATGAAGGAGGGAGCACTTGCATGTCTTCAATATCTTCCCAGAGGAAGAAAAATTTGGTTTTCTGCCCAAAAAAGTTGGCATAAAAACCCAGAATTCTTGCAGAGAGAAACAGCCGACCCTGCAACCAAAAGGCATATATCTTAAGGTTTATGAGGTTCAATATGTCCAGATACATTATTGTGGTAAGTTCCTTATGCCATGGTATCCAACAATATTCTATTTTTCAGTACTAATACAGTGCGTGAAGTTTTAAACAAACGTATCAACCATACACAGAACCTGTAAAAGCAATTTTCTCTTCAGGTAGCAGGTGAAATCACTGATTAGAAACTCTTCTGGAGGCAAACCTAACAATTTCTGGAATGTGGAATTTCTTTGAGGGGATCGAAGATTCAGCTGCAATCCACTTGTCAATGGTTAGATATACAGCTCCAAAACAAAACACAGAACAAGTTGGCAGTAGAGCTTTTCTTTTTCTTTTTATTTTTTTTCTTTTTTGGGTTGACTATAGTTAGCAGCGTTAAGGCCAGAAGAAAGAAACAATATTACAAGACATTTTTAAAAATGATTACATACTAATGCTCAGAGAAGCATGTAATAAGGCAAATTGACAAATCAGATATCTGGTCCTTAGTGTCTTACCCTTTTGCCTACTTCCTTTCCCTTCTTCATTAAATACCCCCTAATTGTTTCAACTCCTTTATTATTGTCCAAAAATATTCTCAAATGCAACTTTGATTGGGATGACTGCGCAAACTTTCCTTCTAGGGAAACCCACATGTCCGCCAATTCAGTAGATGTGTGCTTCAAGAAATTGATTTCAGCATGTCCAAGGGAAACATCCTGGTCAAATGGACCATCAAAATCGAAAACTTCCACATTTAAAACTGATGGCGGTTCTTCCATCGCATCAAACTCTAATATTTCTGCATATTCATTGAAAGATTAATAGAGTACCAGTAAACATACATCCATGTAAAAGATATATTAATGCAAATAAGTACCAAATTAAATTATTAGGGGGGGGGGGGGGAACCCACACCATTCCATTGAGGAGCTCTTGTCTCAAGCTTGACAGAGCTTGACCTTGTTTTTCCATTGCAGGTGAAAACCACATAAGGGTCTGATAACCCCGATGACTCTAAGGATGCCAGATCAACCCCCTCAATTAAGGCCACAGTTAGAATCCATCCATCCCCATGGGCTTTCAGACCATGATCACTTCCTGTCAAAACGGATGGAACTCATCATTGAACCCTACGATGAAGCCTAAACCGAAATAGCAAGCACGGGAATTCTCAAAATGAAATACAAATGATAGTTGGGATAATTGTCCAGCTTATAAGCACATTAAACTTACCCATTTGAAATCTAGCTTGGAAAAAGTGAAAGAGCATGTTGTAGACACGCTGCAGCTGGATGACTAGAATTCCACTCGTAATGAGCTCTCCAAAACTGTCTGGCAATTCTAGGCCTTTAAATTCCAAGCCTCGGATTTCGTTTGGACCACAGCGGAAGATATGCACCAACACATATGAAAACATGACAATGGTGGAAACTACTGTAAAGTTCCAAAAATATTTGATTGCCAGCCGCCAATTGGACAGATCTTCTGTTTGCATAGTTGACAAGACCTGTTGTTTGTTTGATAAATTAGAGGTGTCTAGCTTCTTAAATTTCTGAGCAAGTAGGTTAGAGAACTGATCAAAACTCTCCTTCAGTCCTTGACGAGCACCCCCTTCTATCATGCCTTTCATCATTGTGCTTTGCATGAAGACAATGCCCCAAGACACCACAAGATGAGAGCATTTTTCTGCAGATTGCTCTTTTTCGGGCATTATCTTGTAAAGCAACTCAATCTTAAATGAATTTCCGTATGGGACCTCGGGTGTGCTTACACCAACAAGTATAGCATATTCCTCTTTATTCACCCTAACATAGGTTTGCTCCTCGGTGGCCTTAACTGCCTTAACTAACTTCGTGGGAGCTTGTGTATAGGAAACAACTCGTGTTAAGCAAGACATGTCTCCAGATTTCCATGTCCAGGGCCCCTCTTGAACATTTGTTGTTCCTTGCAGTTCTGCCAACTCTCTCCTGAACTGTGAATCGGGCGCAAAAAGGAGTGCATTAAGATCATAAGTAGACACTAGATAAATCTGATCTACCAGGATACCAGCAGGCAGATTTTCAGGCATTTCCAGTTTATGATCTCTTGACTCCATTAATGCAATGGCTTCTTCAAAGCTACAAGGAGATGGACCATCACGAACAATTTCTTCATTATCAGATAATGAAGTGGATGGTTCTGAAGAATCATCACCTTTTGAACTTTCTTCTTTCTTAGTGAAAACTTTATCCAAACGATTGGCGTATTTAGCAACAACCTTCATCAACTGTTTCCCTTCAGGCATTTTACAGCGAGGTACTTTGGGGATAAAAATGTCCTGAGATGAAATATGTGGACCTGCCAAGTCTTTAGAGTCCTCCATAGCAATACCGGAACTTGGAGGATGCATATGATTGAGGAAAGAAGCATGCCCTTTACCACGAAGAGAAGTAGTAAGGAGAATTTTC